TGTTATATAGCTGTTTGTGCATGTGAATGGTCTGCAGAGGTTCCGTCCTCAAATGCCTTGATTGGACTCCTTTGTGTACCTCCGCAATGACGTCCCTATGTTACACTTGTACTCCTATTGGCAAGCGAGCCGACACATGGTACGTGATAAGCTAAGGAGTGCGACATCTCTAAGCAGTTAACCAATCACAACAGAGCCGGCCAGTTGACCAATCAGAGCAGACTTGGCTCTGGTTTCAGAAAGAGGGTGAAAGAGGTAGAGGCAGTATAAGAAGAATTAAGTACTTTTTGAACATGAGAGCATATACACATGTCACAGTAGAGGCACAAAATACAAATATGAACCTGAAAATGATCATAATATGGCCACTTCACCGTGTGCTATATGTATGTGTAAGAAAATGGCATGTCGAATAAGGTTGAGTTTTATTAGCTCGGGGGAAAAAATTGCAGGCACTCAATAATCTTCTTGTAGCCCTGCTCACTTTTCCCACCGTTCTCATTTTCTCAGCGCTACTCTCACTTAGCAAAGCATCTAGTGGCTAATGATGCCTCTTGCTCAGCTCGTCACACCAATTTAGTCAACAGTGTAGGCTTCAGCAGAGTCAGAGTGTCAACAGGCCTGAGCGCTGATGACTGCAGTAATGAGGGGCACAGGGTGGAGGGCGGCTGTAGTAGTTTGCGTAGATACTTACTTGATGAGGGGTTTTTAAGAGTTTTACAGTGTTGTTCTCGGGCTAGAAATAATAGGAAAGGACGAAATGCCTATATTAGACATGGAACTGCCAGTGTTGGTGGTCACACAGCAACTTGTCCACTTTAATAGTGGATACTCCTAACTCCTGATTCTACCTGAAAACTGGGAGGACCAGCTTTTATATAGTTTGCAGTTACAAAGCTGTGGACCTTCAATGTAGAGCATATTCTTTACATGATATTTTAAGGTTTTATTCCTTTATTACTGTTGCACTTGAACATACTTAATAAAGCATTCCAGTTCCTCTCTTTTGAGTGTGGCAAACAACCTTGAAAGGATGTTACATCATTTCAAAATGTACTTTTTTATAAAAGCTGAAACACTAAGTTAATTGAAAATGAATCTGCAACTATTTTGACAATCAATGATTTGTATTTGTAGAGTTGGTTGAACCAAAAAAGTAATTTTAATTAGTAACTCTTGGCGTTGAGAAATTGTGGCTAAAAGATTGGGATCTCTCGGTGTATGTATCAAATAAGAAAAGATTATTCAGGGTAAATAAATACCTTTTCCAAATCATTTGGATTGTTGTCTTTACTTCACGAGGGGTTGGTTATTTCCCCTGCATTGTCGAGCCAGCCTTGGGTTTAATTTCTATTTAGCTTGAAACACATATTAATTTAAAAAGAGAAATATTCACACCACACCAATTCCTAAGTCCCGTAATCAACTAGACAAAGTGTCCTGCAGGGGAAAGACACATGATGAATCAAACATATGGAGCAGGATGAAAAAAGAAAGAAAATGCCATCTAAAATACATGAAACACATGCAAACGCTCTGCAGCAGATTTGTTAATGAACAGGGCAAAAGACAGATGGATGGAGAGGGGATCTGCCAACAGCCATATACCTATGTAAAGCATAATCTCCTCGGTCACTCTGAGCAAATCTGTCACTGGTAATTTTACAGAAGAAGGGGATACAATGATTTTAAAAGAGTTTGATCTATTATTGAGGCCTATAATGCCCATCTGTGTAATCTGGTTTCTGAAACCCATACTGTTTCTCTATGGGTGAGTCACCTTCATTCACTGTTTTCAGAGTGATCCTTGACTGATAATACAGCACTATTTACCACCCACGCCTCACAGTGTGCTGAATGAAAAACAGAAGAGAAGAGAGAGAGCGCTTTTCAGTCGAATGCTAATGCGAACATCTCCCTCTCTTCTGCGAGTGGATCAAAGCATCTGCTGGACAGATGACGACATGCACTCGCCAAGGCAGACACAAGGATTACTCACGACCCACAGTGCAAAGGGAGAAAGTGCGTACAGTACGTGTGTTTGTCCGAGCCTCAAGCGAGATGACACCACGCTGATTCAGAGGCGGAGGGGCAAAGGTCGAGGAGTGTAGACGGAGTGATGATGAGCAAGAGGGATAGATGGATAGGTGTTATTGAGTCATGTCATTTGCTCAGAGGCCGGACAGATTTATCAAATGTCAATTTAGAAAAGAGCGATGACCTTAAGGAATAGTTCAGAAGTGTTTATACATTTGATATAGTCATTGTTTTACCTACAGTAGATCACAACAGGAGTACAAGTACAGGAGCTATGTAACAAAAACAACAAGTTTTAAGCCATCTTAAAAAAAAGCCTATCCAACAAAACTCAATATCAGTTTTAAAGCATTCATTATTTTGTATATTTGTATAGCTTTACCAGAAACTGATGGTATAAACATTGATTATGCCTCATAGAACATTAGGATTTGCTGGTCTAATGCTGCATCACTTTTTTAATGAAGGACCTTGTGATTCCAAACTATCCAATACACAATAACAAACTAACTGGCCCATTTTTCCCAAACTTAACATGCACAGAACTGTTTTAAATGAGAAAAGGGTCAAACACTGACAAGATAAAAGGAAACCAAGTGCTTTGTTTGTGCATGAGCGAGTCCCGTATAATCACCATTTGGAATTCAAAGAGGTACGTCCCCAAAGGGCTCTCCACTTGCACTATGCAATCGCTTGCAGGTGGTAGATAATGGGAACAGAACAGAACCACCAAAATAAGCAATGAGCACTAGATGCAGGTGTGTGTGTGCTTGTGTGTGTAATGTGAGAGGGATAAAGAAAGAGCGAGATGGATAGAGAGAGAGACAGATGAGACAGACAGATCAAAAAGTCATAGAACGACAGAGAAAAATGGGGAGGCAGGAAGACAGACAGATATAGCTGAAGAGATGGATGGTTGAATAGCAAGAAGGTTGCCCAGCAGTGAAAATGAACTGAAAGGAGAGAGACAAAATAAGTCTTAACAAAGAAAGGTAAGATGAATAGAAACCAACACAGAGCCACTGCATTGATTGAACGTTGATAAAACACAAGGCTTCAGTGCACTCTTGATTGCCTTGGATGCCACAGATTCACTTACTTTTTAAATACTTACAGGGCTTCTGACTTTTTTAATGATAAGAACATGAGAATTGCAGCAACGAGGCACTTAACAGAGTATCTTTATAGCAGTTAATGAAATGTGTAAAACATTTGTATGTTCTTGTTCGTGTAAACATGAGAGGATATGGGTGTGGGTGTGAGTCTTAATTGGCTCAGCTCAGCGAACATTCATTAGCAGGACTTTCAGTCTGGTGAGGCTGAAGCGCGAGAAAACCAGCGTCTGATTGTTTTACTTGTCGTTGTTTGGTAGAGATATAGAAAGTAACACTGATGATGGGAGAAGTACTCAGATATATAAAAAATAAACTCTTACTGTTATGTTAAAGTACATATGATTTAGCATCAAAGAGTAATTACAATACCAGGCGTAAGTGTCCACAATGCAGAATAAGCCAATTGGGAATAATGTATATTATATTACTGGTTTATAATTAGTGTTATGTTAATGTGTTTATTACCTATATATTGTATCTGGTGGAGCTAATTGTAACTACTTGATGTATTGACGGGTAGCCCAATATAATTTATTAGTTGATCTATATTTTGTATTTACAATCCAGTAAGCTCTACAGTATGAGCAGTAACAAGCTCATTCATACAAAGTATGTAGGAAAGCATCCTCGTTTTGATGCTCATGGGTAAAACAATGTAAAGTGAAAAGAAAGTAGCCCAAGTAGATAATAAAAAGCAAAGGGGCGATGCCTGTCTGTCATACAACTTTGGTCAGAATGGTGATATGCTGTCAACAAATGTTCAAAGAAAAATCAATGCCAGTGCCTTTCAGCAGAAGAAAAGCAGTGTGGATACAGGCCCTAAATACATTACTTCTAAAATAAAATAGCAGGAAATATCATTCATTAAATGTAATCCATATTACAGTAGTGTAGTAAAAAATGCACTCATTTCCCCACTCATTATGCACAAGCTGGATGTGATATGGGCTTGTTGCATGTCGCACTCACACATTGGGGCATGCTGTGGTTGTGACCTCCACTCTTATCTAAACAAGGACAGATCCCATGCCTGGCTGGAGGGAAGAGGAGACACCCACACACACTCTCCAAACAGAGAGACTGCATCCCAAAGGGCCCCGCAGGTCAGACTCTAACACTGATAAAACACCAACACCCTGCCCTGACAGCATCAGATACGCTTTGGGGGAAAGATACGAGGCTAATGAGGGACAATGTGGTCACACCTGATGGAAGCAAACAGAGAAGTGCTCCACGGGATATATACTGCAGGTAGAGGGTGGAATTTCACAGGCTGACACAAAAGTAAAATCAATATGATGATACATTGCAATACTCTCTTTCCTAATATAATATTGATACACTGGTCTACCAAGTGTTTTAAAACAGTACAGTTCGATTATATTTGATTGCATAAGGTCTTTAAGGACAGTTGAGAGGGTATCAACAAAATAAATCATCTTTTAAGTGTAGAATCTGTAAAGACTCATGGGATGAGCAGACTCAATACAAAATACAACATGTGATTTAAAAGGTAGTTATTGAAATATTCAAAGAAGAGAGGTTCAGAGACATGGTTGAAAAAGACCATGACGTTTCTGTGGTAAACATTCAGTGGTGTTTAGATTACAACTTCATGTATTTAAAAATAGATAAAGTATTCAAATGTGAATAGGATTCAAATCTTAATGTACATTACTTCCCTTGACCAAATGGATCAAAGCGATGAATGCAGCAGATTAATATTGACCCTGTTCTTCAACTACAGATGGCGTGCCATACTGTCTTGTAATACCGCAACAACATTTGTTTTTATTGTGTGTCTTTGTGTGAACATAGATGTATGTTTATACAAAAGGCTGAACTTACGTCTGTGTCGGGACCCTTGTCTGCTCCAGGACAGGAGAAGGTGACGAACTCATGGCACCGTTTGTGGACCACAAAACAGCACACTGAGAGAAAAGAGAGAAGGCACAGGAAAAGTTTATAACACAACATGGCACAATTAAAGTGCGTTCAACAACCTAATCCCCCCATTCTGAGAAAAACCTAAACACACAGGTATGACATCCTTCTTATGTTTCGTGCATGTTGTCTGACAAATGGTTCAGAGATAAAGGGATAAATGAAGGGCAGTTAGAGAAAGACTGTGCATGTAAATGATCATCAATCAAGATTGAGTGAGTTTGACAAGCCTCTCATGTACGGACAAACAAACAAGTGCAGACAGACAAACAGACTCACATGCATGTGGGCTCCCACGCTCACACCCACTCAAAAAATGTCATTATAGAATCTTGTGCAGCCATCGGCTCTTTTCAATCTGTTGGGTTTATGCTGATTGTAGCATCGTCTCCCACTGAACTGGGATCTGCATCGACCAAAAGTGTCATTGAGCGTGACATGTCAAACATGACGCCGCGCTCACATCAGTGACATTGGCATTTACATTTGGACGCAGGCGTAGATCAGTAAGAAGAAGCGAAAGCGTGGAGATCTGTGACTCCCTCTTTTAAATGCTCTACTTACTACTGAACCAAACTGCATTTTTTCCCCCTGTCATTGTTTTTCTGCTAAATTCCTCATTCTTTCTTTCTTTTCATTCTCACACAATCTGTCTGCTTCTTTCATTGTCAAGCTGCCTGCTTTTGTGCTCTCCCGTCATTATATTTGTGTTTTTGTCTAACTCTGCCAGCCACGTGAAAGTTGCCAGACAATCTGACGGCCATTGATTAAAAAAGGGACATTTGTTTCTTGAGATGTCCAAGAAACAGCAGGGGATTCAACTGTCCGTGCAAATGGCTGCACAGACAGTTAGATACATTTCAGAAGAATGGATGCATTACAAATTAAGATCATTGTTTTCATCAACATAATCCTAATCCTACCCTGATACTCGCTACAGCATTTCCATCTGTACAGTATATTTATGTCAGAGGTATTCCCTTGTGTCAACTCTCAGTAATGCAGAGGAAACAAGAAAAAGGAGAGGGATACAAAGCTGAGAAATAGTAGCACAAAGTGATTTATCCAGGCTCTGACATTGACATCTGTCATTTTCTCAATGAACAATACTTCGAAACAAAAGCAGTGGGGACTTTTCAGCCGTGGCTCTTGGTAGGGATGCTCCGATCGCCAATTTCGGGGCCGATCGCCGGAATCAGTATCGGCCGATACCGATCGCCGATCCGATCGAGTGGGCGGGGCCTAAATGGAAGATTTAAACTTTAAATCTTCCATTTAAAGTGATGTTTAAAACTCAGTTAATGGGGCTAATTCACTGGAGCTTCCACAAACAACAATCAACTTAATTATTACATTCAAATGAAGTACATTATTCAAGTGTACATTCACTTTGGATAATAACACGGGAGAAATTAGCGGAAGCGCTCTCTTTTCCTCCCCCCCTCTCTCCCCCTCTCTCCCTCTCCTGACAGCCTGTCAGTATCTCATGCAGCTCACTGATCTTGAGTGACCGGACAGTGAAGAATACATATATTTATAACTAGTTTAGCTTGTTCCAGAGGTAGATAAAATAGCTAAGTGTGTTATGTCTTAAATGTCCGGTTAGGATGTATTAGAACGAAATCTAAAATGAAAATTGTAAACAAGCAATCTGTATGTAAAAAAACACCTGTATGTAAATTGTAAATAAGCCATCTGTATGTCAAATATGTCTTATATGTCTTAAATGACATGATGAATTGGAAATGGGGGACCCTGATGTAAACAAGACGAAAGTCTTTCTCTGGTCTGCATCCCCTTAACAATTGTATGTTTTGAGCTGTACTGTACTGTACGCAATATACAAGCTGTTAATAAACTTTTCAATCAATTCAATCAATCAGGTCTAACTCTTGTGTGTTTCGCTCCGCTTACCGGTCCGGCGGGCGGAGCTGCAGGATTTCTGCTTCACACATGCTTGAACTGAACATCCGGTTTCACTATGAGTGGTCGCATTTTCGAGAGCTCCCACTTTGGCGGTTATTCCTCACGATTTTTTACATATTTCATCCTCCTGACAATATGGATTATGGACTCCTACCTCAACTCATCAATGAGGCAACATCACTTAGAGAAGGAGAGTAATGAAAGCGGGGATAAAATGAACCACAATGACTTTTACCTTCTCAACGGCTGGGAAAGGAAACACCTCGCTTTTGGAAGTGCAAGCATTCATGCATTATTAACTGCAAACCCGACGCGAAAGTACTTACCCCCGTCAGGCAAACTAGACCGAAGAAGTATGATCGTCTTGGTCTTATTGTTAGCGGGAGACATCCATCTGAATCCGGGCCCGGTGCAGACAAGAAGCCAGTCCTGCAGGCTCGAGGAGCTAGCATCTCACTTAGCATCAGAACTAGCATCTCTTCCGCTGCAACAACAACTACGCGACGACAACAGAGACCGTGGAGACAGCGGAGACCAAGGAATAAACGGAGACTTCGAGATTCCGCCGGGGACGCCTCGGCAGACAGACACGCATGAGGCAGTGACGAGAGGAAGAGAACCGATATCCGAGGGAACAAATATCCGCCTGTTGTTAGCCATGTTGTTAGCCACCCTGCTAGCATATCAACGGCTAAAGCTACAACGGAGCCTCCCACCCCCCCACCACGACAAGCCGGTTGCTGTAACGGACAAAGACAAATATCTGCAAGCTGACGACATTGTGCATTTAAGCAACAAAAATGGACTACATATTTTTCATCTGAACACTAACAGCCTGAGACACAAACTGGCTGAACTCAGGCAGCTATTCATGAACGGTAAGGCAAGCATATTATGCTTTTCTGAGACCAAATTGGACAATTCCATTACAGATTCAGAGATTGAAATTGAAGATTATCTTGTAGTGAGAAGGGACAGGAACGTGAATGGAGGTGGTGTCTGCATGTACATACATAAAGACACCAATTTCAAAAACCGAACTGACCTGCATCATGAAAATATTGAATCTGTGGGTTGAAATTATTTTTGACAATGCTAAATCTGTAATAGTTGGGACAATCTATAGACCACCGGAACAGAGTGACTTTTATGATACATTAGATGGGTGTTTGGCTGATGTGGGGGATGTAGAGACAATTATTATTGGAGACTGGAACACGGATATGCAACGTAAAGACACGTCCGTCTTCAAGTCCTTCAGTAGGATTTGTGATCTGCACGGCTTCAGCCAGCTAATCACCCAACCCACCCGGGTATGTGAAACAACACAAGCTACCATTGATCTCATTCTGACCTCTGACAAGTCCAGGATCTCCAGTAAAGGGGTTATAGCATGCGGGTTAAGTGATCATTATATGATATTCTGTACCCGCAAAAAGCTAAAACAAAGGGCCGGCTGTCACAAAACAGTCATATCTAGAGACCTCAAAAACTACTCTAGCGAGGCCTTTAACCTAGAACTGGAGAGCCTGGACTGGTCAGATGAGCTCAGTGGTACACAAGTTGAAGAAACATGGCTTGGTTTCAAAAACAAATTCTCTGCAATACTCAATGATTTGGCCCCCCTAAGAACAACCAGGGTAAAAAAATCGCGCTGAGCCGTGGATGCACTCCGGCATACTGACCGCCATGAAAACCAGAGACAAAAAATGCTCTGAGTTTCATAAAAGTCAGTCAATGCTTTCCAAAAGCACGAGCAGTGAACTCCAGGCCCACGTGACTGAACTAAAAATTGAAAGAAACAGACTAAGAAATGACGTAAGCTCCATGATCAAAACTGCCAAAAAGAATTTCATCAATATCAAAACTGAGGAAAACAAAAATAAACCCCGTGAACTTTGGAAATTACTCAATAACCAGCTTGGCTGCAGTAAAAAACTCAAAACGAGATTTTCTAACTTAAACATAAAGACAGATAACAGGCTCATCACAGACAAACTGGATGTGGCCAAGTACTTGAACATTTTTTTCACAAACATAGCCACAACTCTTGTAAATAAATTACCCTCCCACTCAGGGCTTTTTGGAATAGATCACATCATGACCTACTACAAAAACCTAGGGGTACGCAAAGATGATTTCAGTCTAGCAAGGGTAACAACAGCAGAGGTACTCATTAAACTGAGCGCCCTCCAACCTAACAAGGCCACTGGCCACGACAATATCCCCTCCAAATTCCTCAGAGACACAGCAACCGCCATCTCACCAGTCATAGCTCACATAATTAACCTCTCCATAAAACAGGGAAAAGTACCCAAAGACTTCAAAATTGCAAGAGTAACCCCCCTGCACAAAAAGGGCAGCAAATTGGACCCAGGCAACTACCGCCCTGTTTCTATACTTACCTCCATCTCGAAAGTCATGGAAAAAATAGTATATGAACAGGTCGAAAAGTACCTCGCGGAAAAGAAACTAATCTATGAATTTCAATCTGGCTTTAGAACATCCCACTCCACTGACACATGCCTTCTTTATTTGAGCGACCACATCAAACAAGAGGTGGACGAGGGCAAGTACTGCGGCATGGTGATGCTGGACCTACAAAAGGCTTTCGACACTGTCAATCACCCCATTCTGATTGACAAGCTAAAAGCAATTGGTTTTACCATTAGCCCGCATGGTTTTTCTTACCACTGCTACGCTGATGACACCCAATTAATTCTGTCCTTTCCCCGCTCAGAGACCCAGGTCGTTGCACGCATCTCTGCTTGTCTAGCTGACATCTCTCAGTGGATGTCTGCTCACCACCTCAAGCTCAACCTTGACAAGACTGAGCTGCTCTTCCTCCCGGGAAAAGATTGTCCCACTCTTGACCTAACAATCAACATCGGCACCTCAGTTGTTTCCCCGACTCAGACTGCAAGGAATCTGGGTGTGACCCTAGATAACAACCTGTCCTTCACTGCAAACATCGCTGCTACAACCCATTGCTGCAGATACACGCTTTACAACATCAGGAAGATACGTCCCCAGCTGACTCAGAAAGCAACTCAGGTTCTGG